CCCTGCTTCGTAGTCTTATCATTATCATTGACCTTGAGAACTTTCTAAGCAGTAACATTATTTACTACATACTTAAGGGATTCTCCGTATCATCCGACAAGTTTCAGTCCAACCTGCCGTTTAGGGTTGGAAGTAGGTAAAAAAATATGAAGGGAGCTCATAAATAATTTGTAAGGGGTCGCGCGCCGCTGACGACGCTCTGGCGCCCGGCACGTGCTGCATAATTGTGCGTGTCACCCACCCCCTCCCCGCCCTTATAACCATTTTTCTCATGTGTACTAGTATATACGCGCCTGCTTCGTTCCCCTGTTGCTACATTGTCTCTCTTGACAGTCACAATCGCACGTGCTCCTCGAGTACCACTCGAGTTACACGCTTTTTAAGCGCTCGACTACAGGAACAACCCCCAATAATACGAAACGACAGATATTCATCTTACCACAACATTCAATGCAATTTAAGGTATATTTACGGCAGCCTGGTATGTCGAAATTATTTTTTCTTGCATTTGGCAATATCTCAATATAGTACAAGTGTAATACGTATACACGTTAGGAAGCATATTTTCCATGGCATATGGTGTAAATTACAGTGCTTGAGTTGTCTTTATCGTAGGATGATTTGGGCGTGCACACCCTATAAATTCGATTTGAAGCGTTATAAATTTTCTATGGGGTAATGAGGAGCTCAATGTAATCTTATCGTTAGTGATAGTAATTTTTCTTATGGGCTCGTAATTCCTTAACGCGTTGGGTACTTGTGTTATCGACTAGGTTGTATTTATGGGATTTTTATTTTATACACACTCTACGCTATCCCGATGCTTTGTACACGATTACATCTATGATGGTTGTTCAATAAAATTCCACGTGACTCGTAATGTTGATACATTGCTGTCTGGATGGATTTTGTACGAAAAGCATTTTTACGTCAAATTTCCAGCATTATGGCAGCCGGCACTAACTCGTATACATTTGATAAGTGGTTTATATAGGTATAGGACGTAAATGAAATTCCAGTTTATGAGAACTCGTAGGGAGTCTCAAAAGAGACTGGATGGCAATACCGATTAGAAAGACAAAGATAGAAGAGGGTGTAAGATTCCGGCACGCGAGCAATGTACCGATATAACCGCGTGGCAACGTAGCCGGTAGCGAAACGATCGCGTTGAGAAAATCCGAGAATCCCGACTTTTCATCCCCTAAAGCTACGGGGGTAGGGGGCTGATGCCCGTGGGAGAAAAATATATCTAAGGGTGTACAAGGACGTTGAGCTGTACTATGGTATGGTACAGTAGGGTATAGGGTAGGGGTATGGTATGATGTTATCCCATAAGTCTAAGAAGAATCGCGAGGGTTTACGTCGGCTCAATCGAATCGTAGTTACAGTTGAAGCTGGAAGCCGAGGCGGAGCCTTATAAAATAACATAATTTAATTTGAGCGAAGATAGACGGATCTCGGGGTCGAAGGGCGCGTGCCAGCCAACTACCCTACCATAGCCGGTGAGCCAACCAGCCACACTCTCATCTGGCAGTATCGTAAGGGAGGAATGGGCCGGGAGCCATAGTAAGCTCAACCCCTAATCGCGACTCGATGGGAAACGGCAATTGAATTATTCAAGTTGGCGCAAGGCCGTTGCAGTGGCGAATAAAGGGAATTACACGGTGCCCTTTCGGCGCAGTCGATCTCCCCTCCGTCAAGATTCAGACATTTTTGTGCTCTTTTTTTTTTTTTTTTTAAGTGAAACGCCCAACAAACTACTCTCAATTGATTTATCGACGTGCCTGTAACTCTAGAGAAAAATTGCCACTGCTGTCTCATTTGTCCGATACCCATGTTATGATCTATATCAGTGATCCGTATTACAGTTTTTTTTTTTGTATTATGTGATTTAAGTACCGTGTTAAGTATAATAATAACTGTGACGTATAGGATCGTCGGTGTAATACAAGTTAGATTATGTTAAATTGTCGCAGATGAGCCATCCTGGTATGGAGAGCCTGGACATGCTGGACCCGGCGAACTCGATGACAACACTAACGCCCATGTCAGACAGTGGCGGTGGTGGTCCAGGTCATCACGGTGGGATTCACGGGCCTTCGGTGTACGGCGGAATGAATGGAATGATGGGCCATCATCATCACACGAACATTGGAAGCAGCGTGCCGCATCCTCATCATCATCCAGCAATGGCAGCAGCGGCGGCAGCAGCTGCGGCGGCTGGTCTTCACCCAGATGCCGACACGGACCCCAGAGAGCTGGAAGCATTCGCCGAGAGGTTCAAACAGAGACGTATAAAGCTGGGCGTGACGCAGGCGGACGTCGGTAAAGCTCTGGCGAATCTGAAGCTGCCAGGCGTCGGGGCGCTCTCGCAGTCTACGATATGTCGCTTCGAGTCGCTCACGCTGTCCCACAATAACATGATAGCTCTGAAGCCGATTCTCCAAGCGTGGCTCGAGGAGGCCGAGGCTCAGGCGAAGAACAAGAGACGCGACCCGGACGCCCCGTCGGTCCTACCTGCCGGCGAGAAGAAGAGGAAGCGCACCAGCATCGCGGCCCCGGAGAAACGTTCCCTCGAGGCTTACTTTGCTGTACAACCCAGACCCTCCGGCGAGAAGATAGCCGCCATCGCCGAGAAACTCGACCTTAAGAAGAACGTCGTCAGGGTGTGGTTCTGTAATCAGCGACAGAAGCAGAAGAGGATGAAATTCGCCGCTCAGCATTGACCCGAGGGCGGCTTGTGACAGCAAAACTGACTGTACCCGCCGCCCAGTCTTGAACCTAAACCTGAACCCTTGAACGAATATCAGGGCTGGCCCTGAAGTGGACCGTTGATATTTTTATTTATTTATTCTCATTCTTTTAGGTTGCACCCTTCATTTTCAACCTCATTCTCAAGGGTTCGCTTACAAAGGTTCTGACTAGGTGCGGGCACACGGGTCAATGTCACAGGCATTGCAACACGGCGTCTCCAATGAACATCCTTTTTGACACCTGCAGGCTTACTCGTTGCGACTAACGTGTCAAGGGTCGATCCTAAAGGGTTATCCATAAGATAGGGGTAATCCTGCAGATGTACTTTCCGCTGAATCTGAGATGTATTACGCGTTTTCTATTGATGCCGATGATGAGTTCATAATCGCGCGAGCACAGTGTAAATCCCTGTTATCTGGTGTCTTCTTCAATTCTATCGTGTTTACTTTCTCATTCGTTTTTTTCTTCCTCTTCGTTACCAGAAGCATAGGAAGATACCAGAGAACTCGACGGGAGATCGGAAAAGTACAATGTAAAGCATAAAGCTATAAAGTAACGTATTTGTTATAGAAAAGTGTCGAGGGGGCTAAGAGAAAGGAAAAAATTTAATAAACGAGAGACAGAGATAGTCGAAAACGCTTGGGGGATAAAACAACGGATACACAAAAATGGAGAACGAAGCCGTGCAAGTGGGAGCTGATGAGAAAATAAAAACACAAAGTGATATTAATCCTAATTGACGATACGAGGTAGCTCGCGTGACGGAGACAAAAGAAACCAAAGAAGAGGAGAAAAAGTGGCATAGTGACAGTACGATGTAAGTCTACGTAGTGATATTGGACAATCAGTGAAAAGACTGTATCATATAAATATTTGAAGCAATACCGTAGATTTTAGGGCGAATATTACATTATAGCAAATGCGCGCGCAGGCCTCTCATTTCATAGCAAAAAAAAAAAAGAAAGAAAGAAAAAGGTAAATAACGTAACGTACCTTTTCTCAGGCACGTGGCCACACAGTACACAGCAGACTGCACGGAAGAAACGCGTACACGAACATTTGTACCCAACACCAAAAATTACCTCCGTATCCAACAATAATTCTAGACAAGAAGAAAAAGAAAAAAAACCGAAAGAACTTTCTTATCCGAAAATCATATCTGATTTTTGTTCTTGGCTAAAGTAAGCACTTTTGGTGGCGTACTGGGAATTCAGTAAGAATTACGGAACCAGCTGAACATACTTGAATTCCGTTGGAAACGGATTTAACGTGGATTTTCATTCGTGCTTGTTCCCAAGCAATATGTCATGGAGATTGCAGCGATGTGAGATGGAGGTTTATGTAATAATAATTAATGCGATGAGTAGCGAATGGTCATTTTTAATCTGTACATAGTTAGGCTAAGTATTTTCTAGTCGAATTATATAGTCGAATTAAAGAGACACCAGAAAGTCATACTCTGCGTGCGACCACGAAGAGTCACCCGATTACTTTCCGTTGGACGTTTCCTAAAAAAAAAAAAAATTGGCGAAAAATAAAATGACAAGCTCACGTTCGTATCCCCAGAAACGTTGAAAATTGTCCAAAAATTGGCCCTCTCTATTAGTTAGCTAAGAATCCTAGTGCAATATAGCCTCTGGTGCCGTTTCATTTTATCGTAATGATTATAGGAATTTCTTAAGGGACGGTACGATATATTGTTGTCGCTCGTTAATGCATTGTTTGATTTATTTATTTTTCAAAAGCTTTCTCTTGTACCTCGTTTGTATTTATATGAGAAGAAGGAGCGAGCAGAGAAGAAAGAGATGGCTATTTGATACTTATGATCTGACTGGTGGGATGCCATTAATAACGCGACAAAAAAGTATTCCAGTGCTAGACGATTCAAGCGTACCGCCTGAAACTGGCTTAACCATGGAGATCGAATGAACGGAGCTAACTTCAGCCGGTACGTTTGAGTTGCCTATAGCCTTATATATTAAAGACAGGGTAAACAGCATTAAGTCGTGTCGCGAATGCGCTTTTATTATGACATTAGTGACCAGGTAGTCATATTATCCATCATTGAAGAGCGATGGAATGAATTAATGATTGAAAAAAAAAGTTGTACGAATGAAATGAAACGAATAAACGAAATCAAATGTAAAGGCATACATACTAAACGATGTGTGAATATTTGCGGCTCTAGTCACATAGAAAATAGAGTTGAGAATGCCATTAATGGTATCCCATCGGATAAATTTTTCATCCCCAATAATAAGGTCCATCTAGTCTATCTGACCACCATAACCTCGAATCCCCGTAGAACCAACGGAGAGATTACTCTCAAGAAATTTTCCTTCTTCCTCTCTCTCCTCTCCGCCCACCAACCCCTTTCCCACATCTCCCCACTCTAGGCTAATTAATTACACCTAATTTAAATGTTTATACGAAGTTTCGAACGAAGCCAAAAGAAATTGTTGAGGTCGTCGCGCCTTTGGATCTTACTCATTGAATTCCGTATACCTGTGAACTCACCTTTAACAAACCTATGTACTTTTTAGTATATCTCGATATGATGACACGGAGCGAGACGAGTGTCGTAGAAAGGTTTGTCATTTATTTCACTCCTTTCACTTTATTCCTTTCCTCGTGTACTCCTTCAGAATTACTATTGTCCCTCTTTAATTTTCTTTTCTTTTTTCTTTTTTCTTGAAACTTATTGCACTCCATCCACGCACCCAGTTACACCCCTTCATGCTTTACGCCCGAAATTATTTATCGAGCTTTCTCTTTATTCCTTGCCGACGATCGATTCATCCTACTTACAAGCTCTTCACCCTCATCGTCGACCCAACCACCCACCACCCACCACCCATTCTCAGTCCCATACCTTGCCCTTTGGTTTCCATTTATGTACATACTTCTCTTTGTCTTTTATACCTACCCACCTTAGCATATTCCAGCCCTCCTATAATTATCAGACACGTTACCTCTACCATAAAGCCTATACAATATCATGAAACGTAATATTTCTCCTCTGTTCTTTTCTTTTCCTTCTTAATTCGTTTTATTCTTCTTTTTCCATTTATTATTCACATCTATTTCTTACTTACTTTTCTCAACGCTTTACTCTTCTCCACTCGCGTCACTGTCTCGTGCATTCAAAAGATATCCGGGTATCGTTCAAGGAGTAAGGCTTCATGCGTGGTTAAACCATTATAACGATATAATAAAGACGCAGAAGAAAGAAAAAAGACATATCATAAAAGTATTAATTAAATTTGCCTGACGATGTAGAAATTTATAATGTAAAAAGGGCGCGATCGCGGCCAGCTTGCCGAGAGTGGACGAAACAGGAGATAACAATGAGGTTAGAATATTATAATAAGAAGACGTGTAGGTAAGAGGTACGAATAGCGTGGCGACATCTGTCGGTAATTTTTGATAATAGGTTGCAGGGACTGCACAGTCTTCTACGTACTTTAACACGATACGAAAAACTGACAGCTGTTCCAGCTTCTTCTAACCAAGACCGGTTAACTTTTGTAAATACTCAAATTGTAAATCTAACCCCTCGATTAATCGCGGGAAACGTTCGCGCTGTCACTCACGAAAATCCCTAAAGTGATAATGATGTCTTTACAGCAAGGCTACACGTCATCTTTATACTTCGGGATTCACGACCTTATGAGTCTATGAAGACGTTTTATTTGTTTCTAGAAATAAGGTATGCATATATCTAGAGAGAGAAAATGAGAGAACGAAAGTGAATGTAAAGAAAGAGAAAGAGAGATTCCTGTTTTATCAAATGCTGGCCGCATTGAATTTTGTGTGTGTGTGCGTGTGCGTCTGTGAGAGAGAGACAGAGAGAGAGAGTGAGTGAGAGAAGTGGAAGAGAGAGAAGAGATAAACGAGACAAACGATGTGGTCAACATGGCCGTCAGTTTCTTCTCGTTCATTATTCTGTACATATCATGTGCCATAACTCATTTAACGTACTTCGTGTCCAACTTTGTTCCAAGTACCTACTCAACTATAAATACTATATAGTATGATAAAATAAATCTCGATGTTATTAATAAACTGTGGTACCTCTCTTGGATTATTCTCTTGCAACATGGGACAATAATTTGACTCATTGATTCTTTATCACGTGTATCTCCTTTCTCTTTTCATCCTCTTGATCCAGTTTACTTTTGTTTTTCGTTCATACGAATCTCCGAGTTATCAATTGCCTCACTGAATTTCGCGTGGGTATCACGAGTTATTTTATTTTATTTTCAGAATACTCGTACGTATGAATATACTTTTAATACGTGGCAGACTGTTAAGGATCTTGTGAAATCTGGAAATCTTACTATGCTCATGAGTCATGACGTAAGCGAGGATCTGGCTTAAATGTAATTTACGTAAGGAATAATGCATTCAAGTGGAACCGGTACGTATAATAGCTATAGTATATCGTATTACATTGGACAACCTGTGAAAGCCCCATAACGAAAGGCCTAATAATTTGAGCATGGTAATTGACATCGTTCTCGCTTGGCCCTCGGCTCTCTGGGCTATGGGCCACTCTCCCATGAATAATTCACTGGGTCCGCGGCGCGCGTGATGGAATCGCTAATTTTTCATAATTCCCTTAGTCCCGCTCGCTTATGGTGGTAATCGAGTGTTTTCACCCGATAATCGTCTATCCCCTCTTTGGAGGAGTCACTTCGCAATGTGCTTTCTTTCCTCCTTGCCAATTTACATTGATCTACGCACTTTCGATCGGATAACACAGGATCATTTAAAATTCGATTTACTTTTAAATACCTGTCACTATTATTGGATAACGTGAATCGAAAAAGATTGTTTTGAAAAATACAAAACTGACAAAGAATATAATAAACTTTTTTTTTATTTGAAGAAAAAAAGGACCGAAATATATTTTTACATAGAGCACGGCACGATTTCTGTATACCCTCCACGTTGTGCACGTGAATGTCCATAAATTTTGACCTTTTCGCATTTGTGTACCGGAAGTTTAACAAATCTAAAAACTATCCTTTGTCCGATCTACTGATCATATATGCGATTTATGAAAGGAAATAAAACTGCTTGACTTTTTGACAATACGGTACATGCTTGTTAACCAACTATTTCACAAGGTTTGCCAACTTTTCTATGAATCGCGTGACAACGTTAAAAAAAATATTAAAATAAGATAGAAACGAAAAGAGGTACCTTGCGTGTAATTAAACATTCATACGGGACTACTCAACAAGATTGTCTATCTGAATCATGAGCATTAGTGGCAAAGAGATTTTTTCGTCGCGGAAAATTCAGATAAAAAATCAAATTACACAGTTGATGAATTTCGACAGAAAAAAAAAAGATAATACCTATACTAAACATACTACACGTATGCCTATACCAAACATATACCACAGTGACAAGGAGTGGTGCGAGGAGAGGAAATAAAATATTACCATCATTTCAGCCTCAGTCACGATTACCAAAACCGCATTTAATCCCTGACAGGCTTGAATGGCGTCGAGATAATGAGAATGGGTTTCGAATTCTCCACCGACCTCTGACCTCTGACTGATCAAGCATCCAGATAGAATCGATCCGTTCTACGTCGCTACTGATACGCCAGAAATTGGTGAACCGCATTCTGGAATCTGCTTTCCTCATTTTCTCAACAATCAATCATATGCCTAGAGTCTCCGAAAAAGAAGGGGAATGAAGAAAAACATTATCGGCTCTGCTAATTGCCGTACAACGTAAACATACCTACCCTCGTGCCCTTTGCCCTCTGTCCTAAGGGGTGTTTATTCAATATCCACATGGGCCCACTCGCTATGCCTATACATGGTACATGTATGAATACGTTCAATATGTATATAGACTATACGTAACATACGTATGTACAGTCTCTGTTGGTAATACACAATATTATGCTGTATGGTACTTTTACTTACTATACCATAATGTTCCTACTGCCGAAGCATTCCTTCTTCTTTCTCACTCGCTCTTTCGTTGCACAGAACACTGCAAGTTCATTCGCTCGCTCACTCACTCTCATTTGCAGTAGAAACCAGCGGCTTGTTCAATACTATAGGCTACGTGTGTATATGGTACTTGAACCTACTATATTATAATTTTCGTATTGTTAAAGCATTGCCTCTCTCTCACTCGCTCTTTCGCAGAACACTGAAAATTCATTCGCTCGCTCACTCACTCTCATTTGCAATAGAAACCAGCAGCTTGTTCAATACTACAGGCTACGTGTATGTATGTACAATATACGTATGTATAAGCGTGGCCGACATGTGGCAGGCGAGGCTGCGCCTGTAGCTTTTGTTAAATATCGTGTTTACACTTATTCGCTTCCCACCACCGTAGACAAGCCACCCTTATTCTTACACGAGAATTTTGCCACTTTATGGCCCTACGGGCTTCTTTGATTATTATACACTGAGCAATTGAATTGTTGAATGACTTGCGATGGGTTTAGGTTAGGCTAGAGATATGGTTATTCAATTAATATTATGGGTGTATTACGTAATTGAAGCACGTTTGAGGTTATTAAATTACAGTCGATCGGGTATCGCGAAATTAAATGATGCCGGCATAGTAGATTGAACTGGATATAGGATATGTAATAGTACAGTGAATATAGTTATTGTATATTGCAGTTATATTTGCAAAAAGTATACGTGGCAAAAGTTTATTTCTATATTTTCAAATGGCATAAAGACTTTATCTGGGCTAAATAAGAATTTTCTTCGGAGTTGAGGTTACTGCTGATTTAGAACTGTATTTTTAGGAGTATCTATGCGGATAACTGGTGAATAAGACACGAAGCGAAGGACAATCAACCCTTGTGGTTGAACCCTTGAAGAAGTACTCGACAGAGAATTCCAAGCATGTATATAGGGTTTATGGGGTGGTTTTATTGTAGACTATAGAAATGGTGTCGTTCGGTGGCCTCTTGAATCCTGGGAAAAAGTGTAAAAGTATAAGAACAGGTGAATGGCAGGATGAAAAATCGTATACTTCTGGCCAATCAGAATTTAGTCACCCTCTTGGGTTAACCGTGATAGCCAGAAATATACTGTGATGGTATATACCTATATATAGAGAGCAACCTCATAGTGCGCAACCCCCCTTGTATCTCTCGCCTTAATAGAAACTTGGTAATCTTCTGTCTCATATTTAAGCGGAAACGAGTTAGCGCGATGGAGAGATGCGCGCGCAGCTTCCGTGTTTTACGGGGGTGTTAATGGAGTCGCAGAAGTGGGTCCAGCCACCCTCCGCTAAGGGATGCGAGAACAGCCCCTCGTTTTAATTGAAAAAATATGAACTTTCTCTTGCGCCCCGAAAGCACTTTCTCTGGACGATATTAAAAACCAAAAGTAAGATAGAGAGGGGGAGAGAGAGAGAAAAAAAATAATAAAATAAAACCATGAGCTCACGAACGTTATCAGGAGGGTGAAAAGTCATAGGCCTCTTCTTGGCTAATTACAAAAACAGTCGACACTCCGTAGGTTCCTTCTTATGATTTCATCTTTCTTTTTTTTTCTTTCTTAATCATCCCAACTTCCCTTAACCACCCCTAAGTCTTACCCTGCTTTCCCAGAAGAGCCTTTCCGTCGTTGAAAGGCCATGAAATTTTTTTATTTTTTTCTTCACCCTTATTACGCCCATTCAGAACTTGTTAGTTCGTCTTTCCGGCGACGGTGGACATGGCGGCGACACCGTCATCAACCTGCGAATAATACATGGGCAAATTGTAGTCGACCTGATAGATATGTAGAATGTGTGGGCAGACACGGGTGGTATATCGTCGCCACCCATGAGGCTGCATCTGAACTACCTTATTCATATTCCAGGAGGAAGCTCGCCTGAGAAAGTAGATAAAGGGGACTACTTTTTTTTTTTGAAATATAGAATGCACTCACCGCAGCCTGTGACCATGCAGAATATGTTCGATTTGCATGCGAAACTTCATCTCCAGAGCCACGGTAAGTCACGACGATAACAGTAGATATATCACGTATGTATATCCTGATTCTGTCTCTCCTTTGATATTTCAGAATCAAAGGTTGATCCGTTGGATTAAGACGCAGCAAGGAGTAGACAAGAGTCAAGATACAAAGTAAAGCAGAAGATGACACTGAAAATTAATGAACAACACAGATAGCAATGACAAGATGAAACTCCATAAATTCTGTTTCGAGTTTTTACATCACAATATCTTTAGTCAAAGTCCCAGGATATCATATTTACCTGTGACTAGTTGGCATGTGAACAATCGACACTGCGCATGCGCACGACTCTCCTATTCGCGCCATGTTTAACGGCCGTGCGCGTAAAAACAGCTTGTCTTAGCTAATCAAGGCCTTCCTTAGGTATAATCCTGGCTTAGCGGCGACTTAAATATTCCTTGTAAACTCCAGCTTACGGGATTACTAAGTAGCGAGAGCTTTCACCTAAGTAGCGTCTCTCCTTACTATATATATCTTGCCGTTTCTGCCCTTCTCCACACACCTAGCGATACACAAACTGTCCTCCTCTATTTCATCGACTTTCTTTATTCTGACTTTTACTACCTTCACTCTTACACCTATTCTAAAGTAGTAGATCATTTGACGGTTAAATCTAATTCCCATTTCTAAACTCTTTGTTGTATATAAAACTAGAATACTATACAATTCAATACGTACGTTCTGATTACAATGCGTATATAATACTCCAACATTTTCAGATATCAGCCATATACATATACGTAAATACTAGAAATATGCATAGAACCCTTTACAAAGTATCATAACGTTTCTAGGGATATGTTACTATGCAGTTATAGGTTAAGTGCGTACGTGTGTACATACAAGCTAACGTACCTCCAGCTGCTATACTACGACCTGGATGATATTGCCTTACAATTAGTAACAATAAAGAACAAAATAAGCGGGTATGCAAAGCTGAGGGCAGTAAAATGATATATGTTCAATATCAAACCATCCAGCAGAAGTAGACCTACGTTATGGCCGTTCGTCTATAAGAAATCGAGTATTCCTTATCGGCAGGGTGAATTTTTCCTTGATAAATATGACTGGAACAAACATAATGGCCGATACC